TCTGTTCCCAACTACCCCACCTTTAATGCATTGTTTTGTGAAGTCCTCAGCGCCTGCTCATTCTTTCTACTATTCACAACATCCATGTGGTGTGTGCTTGCTCTCTGTGAACCTGGTATGTGGCTCTCTGTGCGCCTGGTATGTGATGCTCCCCGCCACCAGTGGCCATTTCACCTGCTGTTCTCATTGCTTCCTCATTGGCTTTCCTTCAGCACCCTCCCACCTCCTGTATATCTTTGAGATCTTGGCTTGAAATATCCTTTTGACAGGGTCTCCTAGACTAAATCAAGGCCCTTCTTTACTACTACTGCTGCTGCTGCTGCTACTACTGCTTACTGCTACTGCTACTACTACTACTATTACTACAATGTACTATTACTACTATTGCTACTACTACTGTTATTACTATTACTATTATCTCTAAGTAGTTGTACAAAGATATTTCAATTCAACATGAGTATAATGCATCTTGATCAATGTCATCCCTTCCATTATTCTCCTCCAATGTTCCTAAGTCCACCTATCCCCTCAAATTACTTGATTCCATTTTCACGTATGTACACTGAATATTATGACTTCATTTGCCTACCCTTTCTTTCTTCATTTGTCTGCCCATGCCCTTGATCTCACCAACTACCCCCTGGCAACACATGTTCCAGCTTCCTGCTATTCATTTGGTTATACTGCAAGTTAGTTGTTCAAAGAAAATACACCATTATAAGCCTCCCCTACATATACCATGCTTTAGTTAATATGTATGCATTTTCATGTATGTTTATTAATTAGCTCTAACTAGCACATGTGTGAGAAAACACGCTACCTTTATTTCTTTGAGTGTGACTTTATTTAACAAAATTCATTCCAGGTCTATCCATTTCCATCTAATTTATTCCAGGTCTATCCATTTACAGTGCCTTTTGCAGTTAGCCATGAGAGCTTTAACTTCTGTTTGGTTAATGTCAGTGTCTTCTTCCTGAGGGTAAAGTCCATGAGAACAGCAAAACCATCTGGCAATGCTCATCTCTGAGAAATTGCCCTATCACGGTAGGCCTGGAACATAGTGTGGCTTCTACTAGAATGGATCAATGGGAGACAGTGCGAATAGCACTCAGTTGACTGGAGAAGAGAGATCTGCAGAGGGGGAAGTAATTTTAATACCCAGCAGTGAAATTCTGGTACTTGAACCCAGGAGTCTTGGCTTCCAATGGGCTCCTTTTATTCCTGGGTTGTCTTAGCAGGGAGGTTTTCTTGCTATTGCTAAAAGACATACATTTGAGCCCTGGTGCTTCTGCCTTGTAAAGGTGTCCAGGCTCAGCTCTCACTGGTAGCTGAAACCCCTCGTGGCTGCCACCTCCTCACAAACACCCACAGCCAGAGTCAGCATGACTAGCTTTGTACAGCCCGAGCACTCTGATTCCACGATCACTCAGCATCCCTCGAGGCAGGTCCTTGAGTGCCCTACAATTACACCCACTCTCCCAGGAGCCAGGAGAGGAGGGATGAGTATAATTAATGAGGGGATGACAGGCCCCTCCTCACTACCAAGAATATCTCCTACCTCGCAGAAGCATTTCTGCCTGAGGTTTGATAGTGCCTTCTCTCTCATGATCACAAAACAGTTCACTCAACTTCGTCACTTAACTCTTCAGCATCTGTGTGAAGCTGAGTGAGGCAAGATGCTAGTCCATAGCTATGAGCTCCCTAAGTGGGTAGGGGCCTGTCTGATATGCTTCCTGCTGGTTGCATCTTCATTTGTTAGAACAGCACTGGACACATACCAACTACTCAAAAGACATTTGCTCAATAAACACTGAGGGAGCAGGCTCATGCCTGTAATCCTTGCTACTTAGGAGGCTGAGATCTGAGGACTGCAGTTCAGAACAAGCCCATGCAAGAAAGTCTGTGAGACTCTTATCTCCGATTAATTTCCAAAAAGCTAAAAGTGGAGTTGTGGCTCTAATCTTGAGTGAAAAAGCTAAAGATCCAGAAACCCAAACCCTGAGTTCAAATCCCAATCCTGGCCCAAAACAACAATAACAGAAACGCCAAAAAGCAAAAAAACAAACCAAACCACACAGGAAGTTCCCCACAAATCAGGAATTTACTCTGCCTGTATTTTACAGAGACTTAGTAGTCTATCTTATGGATGAGGTATTTAATATTAAGACAGTTAATAGACTTTTTCAAGATCAAAAACTTAGTTAGCAGTACTCAGTAGACTCAACTGGAGGAAGTCTGCGTCAAAGGTGCTAATAGGGAAAGGTGAGGACTAGGAATTCAGGCAGGAAGATGAAGCTTCTGGTAATTCCACTGATGTGCAGGAAGGAATGTGGGCATGAAGGCAGGCTTAACATTAGGAGGTATGATCACTTTGGCAAATTTTCAACACAAATGCCAATAGCAGATTTCCACTGTAGATGGGGTCCATGAAGACATGCATTTGGCATGTCTTCAGGACCAGAACACTGGTGTGTGTGGGGTGTTAGGGAGTTGAGTGACATCTGGGGCTTGGGTCCCAGGAAGGAAGATACACAGAGCCCCAGAGAGGAGGCTAAAGGCCAGACTCTGCTTTGTTCCTGAAGGCTCTGGTTCACACTCAAGGCTCTTCTTTCTCCACACTAATTTTCCTCCTCTATACAACAAAGAAAGTCACTTAGGGTTTGGGGTGACCCATGGGATCTTTCTATCCCCCCATACATGTACAACAGTACATCCAAGTAAGGAAGGTGCAGAGTTGCAAATTCTTAGAAATGGTTCCCCAGTGCATCCCATCAGGAGGCCCTCTGTTGAGCATTCCCAATTAACAGCAGAAGTTTCTGTTGATTATCTCTGGATAAGTCATTCTCAGCTAGGGATGATTTAGCCCCTCCTCTAAGGGACTCTAGAAATATCTGAGACAGTCTTTGGTGTTGCCCTGGGAAAGATACATCCTTATATCTAGTGGGTAGAGACTAGGGAATGCTACTAAATGTCATACAATGTACAGGGCAAATCATCCCAGATGTCAACAGTGTGGAGGTTGAGAAACTCTGTTCTAGACACCTGGGTCATGGCTGGAAGGAAGTCAAGGTTGTGGGCATCTGTGGTGAGGACAAGCTTCTTAGGAAGACAGACTCCCTCTAAATGGTTGCTGATTGCCTTCAGGAAAAACCCAGAAGGGCTCTCATTCCTCTCCAAAACACTCTTCAACCATCTAGGCAGGGCTAATCATAACGACCCAACCAGTGAAGATCAGCCGTGAGTGAAGGAAGGCAGAGCCAAGGTCAGCGATGAAAGGTCAAGGTCAGAAGCAAGGGGTTTCAAGAGAGCCCAGCAACTCTTAGGCATGCTGGAGGGGATCAGGTGCAAATGAAGAGCTGGGAGAAGGGGAGCATGCTATGAAGCATGTAGTGAATGAAGGCGTCTAGGATGGTAGAATTTCCAAAGCGGGATGCAAGAAGGCGAGAGGAAGGACCATGAGTTTATCTCAGCCTGGACTGCACTGGTCTTCAAGACTCTTCCTTTTCATGTGTCTGCATCCAGGCCACATAGCGCCTCTGGGTCTCACACTTTTACTATTTCTTTACCCACCTTAGAGGTTTACAGACCCTGTCCCCTCAGGCTGGTATGCCCCATTCCTCCATTCTTCCTCTCTTTGTCCTGGTGCTATGGTATGAAGGCTCTATATGTTGAAATCCTACCTTCCTTGTGACTGAATTAGTAGGTCAGGGCCTTTTGGGAGGTGATTATGTCATGAGAGCAGAGCTTCATGACAAAAATAGTGTCCTTATAAGATAGGTCCCAAGGGGCTGCTGTGCACGCGAGGACACAGCAAGGAGGTAGTGTGTATAAGAAACGGGATATCACCATGTCCAGAATATCTGCTGATGTCTTGATTGTGGATTGTCCTGTCTCTGATGGGCAGTAAGTTTTGTTTCTTTCTTTGTTTATATGCCACCTGGCCTATGGGAGTTTGTTTCAGCAGCCCTGAGGGACCCAGATGCCTGCTAGTTAACACTGGCTCTTCAGGATCTCAGCTCCTGGCTGGTCCTCAGGAACTCTTCCTTAGCACTCCTCCACGACATCCTTCTCCCCTTCATGACACCCATTGTGGCTGACATTCATGTGATGACTGGCTAAGGCCCACCTCCTTCTCTGGCCAGGAGGGTGGTAGAGTGCTATCTCACAATGGGCTTTCGCACAGAGTCTGTGCATGAGAATGGGGTCCAGAAATAGTGGCTGAAGGCCTATGTGGATTGAAGGTTGGATTTGGCAGCCTAATTGTTAGGTTGGTTCAAAGGTAGAAAGGGTAGGTGGGGTTTTGGTGCTATGTCCTTCCAATGAGTTTAAAAGAGTTTTCTTTGAACCTAAACTGATGGACAGAGAGGAGCCCAGCCAAGAGCACTGTGATGTGCTGGGATAAGAGTCAGGCTGAGTGGAAGATGGAAGACTAAGTGGATCTTCAGACTAGATAAGTGACTGTTACAGGAACCCTGGGACAAGGGGCTGGACTCTGGGAGGAAACGGAGGGGAAGCAGAAGCAGAGGGGAAGCAGTGCTTGTTCACTTTGTGGGGGTATTGATGCCCTCCACTCCTCTTTGTATAGCCTGGGAGTACCGGCTGCTGGCCTGATGCAAAGTTGAGGAGAAGGAATGAGGGAATGGGGGGTGGGCTGTGGTGCTGTAGACTCTGCAGCCCAAGCTTCCCTCTCAGGATCTCTGGCCCTTTGGCCCTGTGCAACTCAGCCTCCTGCTTCATGGCAGAGCCAAGGGAGTTTGCTCAGAGCATTGCCAAGGAAGCAGGCCAGCCCAGCAGTGGGTGGGCTGGGATGGAAGGCAGATTACATGTCACTTCATATTAGTCACGCCAGCAGCTTTCCCCATCTACTCAGAGAGTCAAATTAATTGCAATTCTGAGGACAAGCCAATGGCAAAGATAACAAGGAAATAGAAGGCGATCATGTCTGTTTTCCAGTCATGAGTGGATCTGAGTGCCTTACAGAGGAATTCAGATTTGCTTACCTGTGAGGTACATCTCTTCTCCTTCAGTAAACATCTGGTGGCAGCGCACACATCTGGCACAGGTAGGGTGGTAGTGCTTCCCTCCTGCCTACAGAGATCAAGAGGTGAAACAAGGTCAGACCTGGGGCTATTGTCCAATGGAGCTAGGTTGGGTGAAAACATTTCCTAGGTACATTAGTGTTGTTTGTGTCTTTATGACTGATTGGTTGGGAGCCTGACAGGAGATGGGGAAGTCCAGTATCATACAAAAGTCCACCCAAGAAGCCTGGGAATTTTTCTATGTCCTTGATAGAAGCTTTGAGGACTTCCTTGATAGCTATATGAGGAGAAGAGTGACTTTGAAGAGATCCTAGCATCCTCCAAGTATGGGTTCCTTACCCCTTTGTGGAGCTTGAAGTGACTAGAAGCAGTACATGAACTTTGGAATTTAATGGCATTGGATCAATGAAAAAAAAAGTTCTTACAAGGAGCTAGTGGCTCACAGCTATAATCCTAGCTGCTCAGGAGGCTGAGGTCCAGAAGAGAAAGCTTCAAAGTCAGACTAGGAAGAAAAGACTGTGAGACTCCATCTCCAAAATAACCCATAAAAAGCAGTACTGGGGGTATGGCTCAAGTGGTAAAATGCCAGCTCAGCAAGCAAGCTGAGTGAATGTGAGGCCCTGAGTTCAAACCCCAATTTGGCCTCCTCCTTTAAAGATCCTCTACTGATTCTTCTGATTTTATCAAGTATAAAGTAACAGTCTGTATCTCTAACATGTATCCAAAATGTGCTCATCTATCTCTCTGTCTCTCTGTCTCTTTGCCTCTCTCTGTCTCTTTCTCTCTCTCTGTCTCTCTCTCTTTCCCTTCTTTTGTCCCCCCTCTCATTTTTTGTGGTGTTGTGGATCAAACCTAGAGCTTCGTGCATACTAGGCAGTACTCTCCTACTAAGTTTTGTGAATCCTTGGCCTTTAGTGTTTTTTTGAGACAGAGTCTCACTACATAGCTCAAGTTGGCCATGACCTTGCTAGGTACTACGTCTGCCTCTTGTGTGCTGGGATTACAGGCATAGCTGAACACACCCAGCTTTACTCTATTTTTTAAAGAATAAGAAGAGGCAAGAGGCTTGGGGCAATAGAATCTAGCTAGAACTACTATATTTTGGGGTTTCTTGCAATATACTTGTGATATATATACTTGTGATATAGGTTTGCTTGTTATGTTATGCAAGTTTTCTTCTATGTAAGTGAGTTGACTTAGTGACAACTTCAAGAATTAGGTAACACCGAGTATATGAGACTCACAGATTAGGCCAAAGTTGAGACTGTCATATGAAGAACAGGTTTTTAGGGGTCCTGTACAAATTTTTGCACTTAGACAGCTCGGTCTTTCTGGAGAGCCCCTAACCCTCAGGCCTGATTGTTGCAGACGAGGTGCCTCAGCCCTGAGTCCAGCCCATCCTGAGGTGGATTTGGTTAGTTACTTTCCCTTTTCCCACTGCTATCTCTCATTGCTACTTAAATTAAAAATAGGATCCGAGGGCTGGTAGCTCATACCTGTAATCCAAGCCACTTGGGAGGCTGAGATTGGGATGAATAAACTCCAGGGAAGCCTGGGAGACTCTGGCTCAACCAAAGGAGCTGGGCATGGTGACCTCTACCTATTATTCCCTTTATGATACTTGGACAAGAAGTGTGACCTTGATTTGAAATAACCAGTGCAAAAAAGGTCAGGAGGCATGGCTCAGCATTAGAGCAGTTGCCTAATAAGCTTGAGCCCTCGAATTCAAACCGTAGTATGGTGGGGAGAGCCTCTGGGACTATTGTGCCTCAAAGTCTCACTGGAAGCCAGCAGTAGTGTTGGGCCTGGTGTGTGGGAGCTAGAAATGGACAAACCCAACACATTTCTATGCTGTCAACGCCAACATTAGAAACCTATTTCAGAGAATCTGACATGTAAGCATCCTTTGGTGGCCTTGGCTCCGGAATTTCTATATGGGTATGGTGATGGTAGAGAGATTGGGTTGGAAGAGGGGAATTGTTCTGAAGGAGTGTTTTGTATGTCAGGGTAGGTGGAAGATTTTCTCATGGGGGTGTGGAATTGATGGCTACTGGTGGGCTGGAAGACCACTTGGTCTGATACTAATGTGTTCCAATTTAAAAGTTGTAATCGAGTAAATAAAACCTATTTCCAAACGTTTTTATTTTTTGTGGTGTGAAGTTGTTGGGATGAGCTTGCTTATTCTGGAGAAACTTACTTTATTCTAAAAACAAGGAGAATGGGAAAAGGTCAGATTGTCACCAAAGAAAAAAATGGTAATACCTTTCCTTCTTTCTTTTTATTTTCTTCCAGTTTTGGTTGTTTCTATGACTCCCACCAATGAGGAAATATCCCTGTCATCATCCAAGCAAACTATACTCAAACATTAGAAGAAGCCTGCTATTTTCCCAAGCTGGGAACCCGTGGGACTGAGACTCTCCTACCATGACAAGGATAATCAGTTTAATTAGTAGCCTCTTCCTACTCAGTGTCTTTTTATCATTTCAATTATAGACCTTCTCCCCTGACCCCACCTCCACCCCCACCCCTAGGGTGGCAGCAAAACCGAAGCATAACGTCTTCCTAAATGCTACTCCCCACTACCCCACTGCAGCTGGAAGAGGCCCTGGCCACGCATGGTATAGATAATGACCCAGCCTGTGAAAAAGACAAATTAACAAGAGAAGAGGAACCATTTCACAGGCTAATAAAGTCTTGTGTCAAAACAAATAGTGAAGAAAAATAGCAAGAAATTGGTATCTGTAAACTGGAATCATATTTGAGAAGATGAAGAATGGCAAATAAAGTCAGGAAATACAACAAGACCATGTCATGGTTCTTTTTGGTGAGGATTTGGACAAAGAAGGATGGTGACTGATACTTTGTATATTGCATTCTGTCCCCAAAGAAGGGATTGTGAGATGGCCTAAGGAGGGAATGGGAAAGGTTGGAAGGAGAAGAGAAATGATTTAGGTGAGTGCCTGTGGTGTACTAGTGACCTGGCCCACATCCTTTCTCTTCTTCCACAAATGGCACTAAGCCCCCGTCAGTCCATATGTTTAAGTTGCTCAGACTGCACTAATTCAGCTATTCCTACTCTAGGTGAAACTATCAGTTCAGGGATGCTTCCGAGTCACCCAGAGCAGGTCCTAGATGATCAGGAAACAGAAGTTTGTTTTCCACTGGAGATATTAGCTGGAGTGATTGGTGTCTAATGTTTCTATCACAAAGAAGACACTTTTTGAGAATAGAGCCAATGTGTGGAGCCAAGATGGCCAGTGATTCCAAGGGATTTTATTTAGGCACTGAATCCAGCTGTGCCTGAAGCCAGAACTATTCATAGACTATTTATTATAGGAGCAGTTTTCCTTTTCAGCCAGTGCCATTTGCAACCAAAAAAGTCATGACTAACATATTCATCAGGAATGAAAGGACAGTAGTATTTGACAGATAAAAGTTTTGGGGAAAATAAATTGCTTGAAGTTGTATGGCTAGAAGTGGCAAAACTTGAATCTAAGTCTTTTTCATCACAGCCATACTTTTTTTTCCCCCCTCTGACATTATGCTACCTCAAAGACTCTTAAGTGTCTGAGAGCCATGTCAGGGTTGGGATACAGGATCCTGGAGTCCCAAATATTTCCCTGTCTCTGCCAAAAATACTGCCTATACCAGCAGAAAGGTACTTCATGTCTTGGCTCTCACTTTTCTCATCTGTAAAATGAGGAAGTTGAACTAGTGGACTGTTAAAAATCTCTTCCAGCTCTAAAAAGGAAAGAAAAAAACCAATAGGTCCAAGATGCTAATGGAGCCTCTACGAATGGGATTAATTGAAACCCAGTCTAAAGAAGTGACTACTGCTAGAAAAGGCAGTCACCACCACAGAATTTCAAAGCAGCTAGGAAATACTGCAGCTCTGTGTTTAATCTGTGGCTCTGGGTGTAATCAAAGTTCTTCTCTGCCATCCCTAGTTCTGCACATGGTGACACCACACTTCTCATGGCCCAGGCTTGATTTTTTTTTTTTTTTTGCTACAACGTTTGGTCTCTTCCCCTCAGTTCCCACATTTACTAGTTGCCTCCATAATATTGGAGACAAAGGCAGGTGACATGCACTGGCTTCCTTTTTAGTTTTATCTTCTAGGATTGTGTGTGTGTGTGTGTGTGTGTGTGCGCGTGCACACGTGCATGTGTGCGTATGCCAGTGCCAGTACTGAGGCTTGAACTCTGGGTCGGTGCATTATCCCTTACTTAGCTTTTTCACTCACACTGGTGCTCTATCACTTGAGCCACAGTCCCACTTTTGGATTTGGTGGTTAATTGGACTTAAAAATCTCATGGACTCACAATCCTCAGATCTCATCCTTCTGAGCAGCTAGAAGAGTTACTATTGCTTAACTCCTCATCTGTTTTCTGTCCTTCAGATCTAGCCTATGAGCATGATAACACCATCTTCCTTGAGATGCAGCTCCAAGCAGACATTCCTGTCCAATGTTTCTATGACTCTCCTTTGCCTCGTGAATCACCTACTCCCAACCTGGTATCTCAGGTCCTTGGGAATCTGAGCCCAAGATAAAGCTCATGCCTTATCCTTTGGGTTGCTTCTTAGAGATGCTTCTTTGGGATGCTTCTTAGAGTTTGGTGTATCTGTTCATCATATTCTCTCTCGACTCTCTACAATCAGTTCTCTACATAATAGCTAGTACAATCTTTTAAATATATAATCAGACCAGGCTGTTCCTTGGTTTAAAACTCTCCATTGGCTTTCCATTACATGTGGAGTAAAAATCCAAGCTTCTAAATATGGTGTACAAAGTCATATGAAATATGTCTTCTATGATAGTATTTCATATTCCTACACCATCAATTTATAAAATTAAGCCATGCTGGCTTTCTTTCTGTTTCCCAAAGGAGTTGGGTCCATTTTTCTCCTAGCTCTTCCCAGCTGGCCTCTTCATTCTCAGGCTCTGCTTCAATGCATCTCCTCAGGCAGTTTTTGTCCTAGTTGCTATATTCTCTCCTGCTAAACTACCTGTGGCCAAAGAATCCTTCTCAACCCAGCAATCATGGTAACCAGAACTAAACAATCAGATTGTGCAGAACTGATGAATCTATTTACAGTGGCTTACCCAGCTTGCCATTCATCAGCCACTGATAGATGAAAAACAGAGGGCTAGAGATGCAAAGATCCACACTCAAAATCTGAGTATGAGTTATCAGTGCTAGATCCCAATTGTTCCTACCCCTGTACTATTATTGTTTTCCTGTTTTTTATTCTTCAATGTAGGTGGTTCCTAACTATGTATGGAAAGGCAGCTTCCAGGCCCAGAGAGCATAGAAAGGAAAATTCTTCCTGTTTGCAGATGACATGATCTTGTATTTAAAGAATCCCATGGACTCCACTCCAAAATTACTTGATCTGATTTGAAACTTTGGCAAAGTAGCAGGGTATAAAATTAACCCTCAAAAATCAATGGCTTTTCTGTATGCTAACAATGAGAAGAGTGTGGCTGAAATCAGGAAAGTAACTCCTTTTATAATAGCCCCACAAAAAATAAAATATCTAGGAGTTTAAAGTGAAAGACTTCTATGATGAAAACTATAAAAACCTGAAAAAGGAAATCAAAGCAGAACTTAGGAAGTGGAAAAACCTCCCATACTCCTGGATTGGAAAGATCTACATTGTGAAAATGGCAATACTTCCAAAGGCTATCTACAAATTCAATGCAATACTTATTAATATTCCAACTTCTTTCCTCAATGAAATAGAAGAAGCAATCTAAAAATTCATAGGGAACAATAAAAGACCTTGAATAGCAAAAACGATCCTTAACAGAAAGAACAGTGCTGGAGGAATATCAATATCAAATTTCAAACTCTACTACAAAGCCATAGTAATCAAAACAGCTTGGTACTAGCACAAGAACAGACCTGAGGACCAATGGAATAGAACTGAAAACCCAGAAATGAGCCCACAGGCATATAGCTACCTAATCTTTGATAAGGGAGCTAAAAAACTAGAATGGAAGAAAGCCTCTTCAGTAAATGGTGCTGGCAAAATTGGCTAATTACCTATAGAAAAGTAAAGCTAGATCCTTATATATCACCCTGTACCAGAATCAACTCCAAATGAATAAAAGACCTCAAAGTCAAAGCAGACACCCTGAAAACATTACAGGAAGGAATAGGAAAAACCCTAGGTCTCCTTGGCACAAATTTTTCTTAATAAAGACCCAGAAACAAAAAAATCAAAGAAAGTTTGGACAAATGGGATTGCATGAAGCTGCAGAGCTTCTGCATGGCAAAGGACATAGCTAGCAAGATCAATAGAAAGCCCACGGATTGGGAGAAGATCTTCATACAACAGACAAGGGTCTCATATCTAAAATATACTTGGAACTCAAAAAATTAAATCCCCCAACAACAAATCCTCAAAGAAACAACCATCTGATAAATAAGTAGACTAAAGACTAACTTCTCTGAAGAGGAAATAAGAATGGCCAATAGACTCATGAAGAAATAAATGCTCAACCTCACTAGCCATAAAAGAAATGCAAATCAAAACAACATTGAGATTCCACCTCATCCCAGTTAGAATGGCTAGAATCAAGAACTCTAATAACAACAGATGCTGGAGGGGATGTGGACAGAAGGGAACCCTACTGCACTGTTGGTGGGAGTATAAACTTGTTCAACCACTTTGGAAAGTAGTATGGAGGTTCCTCAAAAGACTCCACATAGAGCTCCTCTATGACCCAGCAATCCTACTTTTTGGCATTTACCAAATGATCACAAACAAGGCCATACTAAGGCTACCAGCACAACTATGTTTATTGAAGCCTTATTTACCATAGCTAAGATATGGAACCAACCCAGATGTCCCTCAGTAGATGAATGGATCAAGAAAATGTAATATATATATATATACAATGGAATTCTATACCTCCATCAGAAAGAATGACATCGCCCCATCTGTTAGGAAATGGAAAGACTTGGAAAAAGTGATTCTAAGTGAAGTAAGCCAGGCCCAAAGAAACATAGGTCCCATGGTTTCCCTTATTTGCAATAACTAGTACATGAGTAGGACAAGTAGAAAAGGTCAAAAGCTATGCACATATGACCATAAAAGATAATGTTAAGTGAAATGAACCCCAAGATAGAGACACAAATATTTTTTCTTTCTTGTATTGTTTCTAACGTATTTATAATGTACCAGATGATTTTTTTTTGTTTCTTTGTATGTTCCTTCCCCACCGTATAACCCCTGTTTTCACTGTATTTGATGTCGGTGCCCTGCATCTTGTATATACACTTCTCTAATTTGGGGAGGGGAAGGGAAAAAAACAAAATGCTTAAATAGGGATATAGTTTGACCCATTGTAACAATGAGATGTACAAGACCCCCTATGTTGAAAATGAACTTTACAACTTTGGCAGGGGTGGGGGTGGGGGTGTGGGGGGTGTGGTTGTGGAGGTGGGAGGGAAGGGATGGTAGGGAAAAATCAAAGGAGGAGGTAACAATGCTCCATAGGAAATGGACTCATTACCTTGCTCATGTAACTGTCACCCCTCTGTACAGTATTTTCACAATAAAAAATGTACAAAAAAAGAAAGAAAGAAAGAAAGAAAGGAAGGAAGGAAGGAAGGAAGGAAAGAAAGAAAGAAAGAAAGAAAGAAAGAAAGAAAGAAAGAAAGAAAGAAAGAAAGGAAAGCCAGGGAGGCCACGGGCCCAGCAAGGGACTGAGGTTGTCTGACACTGGCAAAGTGAGCTTGTATAATGGAGAATGAGAAGAGTGGTTGCCATGGTGATGGACCAGCCAAAGAAGGGCTCAGGGAGCAAGCTGCTAGACAAGCTGGTTCTTAAATCAACACATTACCAAATACTTAAAAAAAAAAAAGAAGGGGTTTTCTATCCTTAGGCAGGGACTGAGAGGAAAATCCTAATTGTCACTCCCTAGAAATCTGTCTGGGTCTGAATCCCAAGAAGCAACTGTTTTTCCAGCATAGCAATTGTTGAACCAAGAATAATTCTGTCCATCTCATTTTGGGGGTGCTCAGAGATCAAAGTTATCTGTTCAAGGGCATGTAGCAAGCCAGGCTGGGGAGGTTGAAATGTTGAGGAAAGGGCTTTCTCTCCTTGGTGATGACTTGTAGAATCATGCTTGTACATCCCCTTGATCACTTGGGCCCACTCACCTCCAAGACCCTGCCGCTGATGTATCGGTCACAAGTCTCACATTTAATGCCAAACTGGGAATGGTAGTCAGCCTCGCAGTAGGGGACTCCATCCCTGCAAGAGGAAATGCACACAGGATGAGGACGTTCAAAGGCCAGTGACAGAGTGAAAGTCCTGTGAGAGGTCCAGGTCCTATTGTCCATAGGCAATAGCCTATGGCCACACTTGCAGAGTTCATTAAAAATGCAGACGCCTGAGATGTACAGGATCAGAAGTTCCCTGGATTGGGGGCTTGGGAATCCACACCTGGTGAGGTCCGCCGATTATTGTTCTGGACTGTTAGCCTTCATTCTCCCTTTTCTCTTCACCTTCTTCCTCACCTCACAAATTCTCCAGAACCACTCTCTTCCCTTTGCTTCAAAGAACTTATTATTTATTTATTTATTCTCTAGGCAGGTACTCAACTGACCTATTCTGCCATCTTTGTTTTGTTATTTTCTTTGCCCAAGGCTGGAGCAGATCATGATTGTCCGACCTCCCACATAGTGGGTATCACAGGTACATGTCATCATGCTAAGCTTATTGATTGAGATAGGCTTTTGCTAACACTCTGCCTGGGCTGGCCTCAAACCACCAGACTGTAGAGGCCACACGAGTGGGTAGTATCAGCTAGGCTTCTTTAAAAGGTTCTCAGAGAAAGCTCCAGAGTCCCCTAAAATTCTGACTTAGGCTTCCAGACTCAATAACCCTGAGTGGTGACTTTCCAAGGACACTGTTTACCTGTCAGGCTCAGAAAAGAATGCCGAACCCTACTGATATGGCTTTTGATGAGTTCACCTCTGCCATCCGGGGACTCTGCTTCACCTGCGCACATACTTGAGCTCCCAGACAGGATGCAAATGGTTCAATCCTTGTCTACTTCCCTTCCTTGACTGTTCTGCCCAAGCCCTCTTTTGCTTTTACAAATCTTATCCCCTTTTTTTCAAGTTTTCAGTGCAGATACATGAAACTCATATATTCCACTTCCTGCTAGCTAGAAGTGATTCCTCTTCTCTGAACATTCATGGCCGTTCACATGTACCTCACACCAAGGCAAGTGCGGTTTGGTCATCATCTCTTGGCTTCCATCTACGCCTTCACTGGTGGCAATGCCTAGATTTTCCTTTGAAAGTTTGAGTTTTCTGGGGCCACAAGGGGCTTTTCTCTGGCTCTAGGATTGGAACTTCCTGGCTCATGATTGGTCCAGAACGTGCCAAATCGAGGGCAACCATGAGACATCAGTTGGAGATTTTGAGGTAAAATCTTCCCTTCCCTCATCCCATTGGCTTGCTAATGGTATAATGAGTGTAACCATGGCATTATTGATAATCTACTTTTCTTCCTCTTTTGGGAAGAGGTCTTCTTGAGAATGAGTCTATTAGAGAAGCAAAAGAAAGAGAAAGAAAAAGAGTGAGAGAGGGAGATACAGAGGGAGAGAGAGATAGAGAGAATTCTGTACTGTGAACATCTTTAGGTCTCTGGAGGCAGACCACACCTGAAGTCAGTATACATTTGACCTTATTTCTATGAGATGTGAACTCCAATTCTTGCTTTCCAGTCAGCTGGAATTAGATTTCTATTGTCTACAATTGAAAGGGTCTTAAGAAATCAAGCTAATCAGTACATTTTATACACCCTTTGCTATCTAAATTCTTCATGAACATAGCTCATTTCATTATAGACTGAACGTGTGTGGGGAGCATGTACCATGGATACTACCAGGCTACACAATCACCATCTCCTACCTTCAAGATGGAGAGTGGGATTTAGG